AATATTTAAGTAGATGAAATGCATTTTATTCATGACAGCCTTTTTCTTCAATGTCCCCAATCCCACAACACAATTCCATCCTCTTCTGGAATTTTATTTGTTTTTCTCTAGTGAAATTTATTAGATGCCACTCTGCAACACCATACATTGGCAACCACACCTTGGATAGAACAACTCTTATAAGGCACAGTCAGTGTTTTGGACAAATTTGTTTCCCCCATGAGTTTAATATATTTTTGAATGAATGAATAAATATAAAAATATGCACAGCTAGCATGCCTGTAATGCCAGCTACTCAGGAGGCTGAGCAAGGAGGGTTGCAAGTTTGAGGCCAGCCTCAGCAATTTAGCAAGGCCCTAGGCTAATTAGTGAGACCCTGACTCAAAATTAAAATAAGTCTGGAAATGTAGCTCAGTAGTAAAGTGCCCCTGGGTTCAATCTCCTTTACAGGTCACCCCCCCACACACCCAGTTATGTATCTCTGTGTGTAGTATACACACACACAACTGGAACAACCAAAAATTGTTGAGCCCATTTTTGGGGAAAGCATTTGATTCTAAAACTCATTTTTAGCAACCTGAAGAAGTTTTATCAATGTTTGGGACATGATGAGTGCTTGACTTTTGCTCTCCATAAGTTTATATTCTAAAGGAGGGACAGAGAGGAACTGGGGATTGCTCTTTCTGTATAGCATTTTAATGCACCAGTTTTGGATGGGATGAGAGGAGGCTAGTGAAGTTTGGGTTTGGGGTTGATTTGAGTTTGCCTGCTCAGTGTCATGCAGGGTTGGAAATGTACTAGACCTACAACTCTCCGGTCCAAACTCTTCATTTTGCAGGAGAAAATTTTTGCCAACAGAGAGTGTTTTACCCCAGGCCACTAAGCTAAAAGGTGGCATGTCTTAGATTGAATAGTTTTCAAATAAAGTAGTAAGTGAAGCAATGCATTCAAACTTTTCTGCCAGCCAGTTGCARTAGTGCACTCCTATAATCCCAGCTACTTTGGAGGCTAAGGCAAGAGGATGGCAAGTTCTAGACTAATCGMAAGTTGAGTAATTTAGCCAGAACTTATCTCTAAAAATAAAAAGGGTTTGGGATGTAGCTCAGTGTTAAAACCTTTCTGAAGAGTCCCTGGGTTAGAAATTTAGCCGTTTAAATAATTTATCCATAGGGTTAGCACTAAAAACAAAAGAAAAACCAAACCAAACAACCTCTCCCCCCMAAAACAAAACAAAAAAACCAGCACCACCAACAAAAAGCCTTCAGACTATGCTTTTGAGATATCCATACCAACACCACCCCCATTTGATGGGCAGAGGTGAGCAGGGGAGGAAAGACATTTTCCAGTCCTATGGTAAGTGTTGTCTAAAGATACCCTTTGGTTACACAGAGGTCTCTCCTTTGAGCATGAGATGGCCTCCCAATTCTTTCGAGCCTACCTACTACAAGAGGGTGAATACAGACAAGTAAAATGGATCTTTCCTGTACTAGCTCACAGTAATTACTCAGGTCCTTTGTTCAGGAAGTGGGAATCACAGGAGTTTTCTTTCCTTTGCTACTTTATTATTAATTCTTTAATGATTTTTTCAGGCAAGTTTTATTCAGGTACATTGGGACAGGGCAGTGAGTCAGAAGTTGGCATCAAAACCAGAATAGAAGCCATAGTCCTCTCTGGGGATTCAGTTTGAGATTTCAAATCCCCAGATCACACTGTTTCCTAATTGGAAAGAAATTTTCTTAAACAAGAGCAAGGGTTTTGCCAGAGCCTGACAGTGACTAATAAGGTCGGTCTAAGGACTATCTGATGAAAGAGAAGTTGGATTTACATGTCACAGTGAATTTTTAAAAGTATTTTCACCCCAAGGTTTACTCCTGAATATAAATAAAATACYTCTCCTTGGGCAATCCCATCCCAATTCCGGCAGATATGCTTTAGTTAATTAAATTAACTTTGAAATGACATTCAACAATATTTTCCTCCCAAATGCCTTTGTTTTCTGCAAGATCCGCTTATTGACAAGCTGATCACAAGGTTCACGTGTAAATTGATTGTTTCCTACTCTCATCCTGCAGACCAGTTGGAGACCCGCTATATGTCATTTCCATACCGGGTGTTGGGTAGCTTCGACATTGTATCCATTTGACTGGGGACCAAATGGCCCACACACTTCAATTAAAAAAAATTATTTAGGGTTTTTACACAGTATCCGGATAAATATAATACCGTAATTTAAATCTCATTTGTTGAAATTTAGTGGCTGAGGCTAATTCCTCATTTGGGAGGAGGGGAGGGATTTTTGTTTCCTTCATCTCTTTTAAAAATCAGCACATCGCGTTTGAAACAAAAGCAGCTCTCAGCTTAAAGGCTCTAAGTCCGAAGTTGCTGTCACCCTCCAGGGAACAAGCGCGCAGGCGCGCGGGTACGCACACGTGGACACACACACACTCACACGCGCCCGCCCACACCCCCTTCCGTGTGACTCGCCTGCGGGATTTACGGCCTCGCCACCATGGATTACTGTCAGGTGCAGAAAGCAACTCTTTGTTCCATGGGCATTTTCCTCCCCCCGGATTTGACTGTTATTTACCGGCCACGTGAACGCTGCGCCCGGGTCGAACTGGCGGGGAAGTGCCCCAGCTCAGTGGAGACAAAGGCTAGCAGAGCGCGGCCAGCCAGCGCCGCCCGGGGACATCTCTCCAGCTCCTGCGACACGTGTGAAATTGGCCCAGAACTGCCTCAGATTCAGAGGCTCTTTCAAGAAATGTCTTGTCAAAGCCTTTGTAGGGGGAGTYGGGGTTTCCTTGAACCGGGAGAAAACTGGGGGCTGGGCCTAGAAGGGCCGCATTTCGGAGCTGCGGGAGAGCAGCCAGGGATAGCGAATCCGCCCCAGACAGTTGGGGCAAGGAGAACTCCTTGGCGAGGTTGCACTCCTGGCGTTTAGTGAAAGAAAACTCATCAGGATCAAGAGTCTCACAGCTACTCCAGCAGAATGAGAAATGGGACCCAGGCCCGTTTTGCACTCCCCACTGGAAAGTCAATGCTGTGTGCTGTTGCTGCCTTCCCACCTGGAGTGCCCAGGTCCTGACAAGCCTCAGTTGTGGTCCTTTCCACGGCCGAGATGAGGATAAACTAGTGACTTGTGCGCAAAATTAAAGCGGAGGCGGGGGGGGGGCGCCAAAAAATCAGTAGTCAAAAGAAAGACCTTAACGCAACACCTTTTAAAAAAATTAATGCCAAAACCCCATGATAAACAAAATATTACATTTTAAATAAAGACAGGATCATTGTAGTGCTGCATTGAGCCATTTTGTAATGAGGCAAAAGGAAAGATCCCCAGGGAAAAGCGACGCACCTCACAGCCCACCGGACCTGGGCCGGGGTGGGGGATTCCGGGTGCAGTGGGAAGGGGGCGCAGGTCTCAGGCCTCAAAGGTGGAGGCCGCAAAAGCCCCGATTGAGTGGATGGGCGGCYTTGGGGTGAGACCTCCGGAGAGAGACTCCGCCGGGAACAAAGACGAAGGGGAAGGACAGCCGGGAGGGCTGAGCCGAGTGGGAGAGACCCGGCGGCTTTGGCGKTTCCCGCTGCTTTGGCCGGGCCTCCGCGCGCAACCTGAGGTGGAATAATCGAACCCGCCCCCACCAGTGCCGTAAGCTAGTCCTGTAATTCTCTCGCTCGTTGATTAATTTTCACTAACAAGACTTGGCAAGATGTCGGACGAATAATTTTTGGCTTCTGTAAGGTTCCCTCCGCGTGCGCGCACAAACCCCCTGCCAAAAGCGGCCTCTGGGAAATTAAATGCATAAGTAAAACAGGGTGGGGGTGGGGTAATGCTACGTGACCTGGAAAGAGGGATGCAAATCAACCTGAATCGGCCTCAGAGTTTACTAAAAAGCCTTTCCAGTCATTCTTTTTTTAAGGGTCTAGCTCCGCATCAAACGTCAGACCCTAATTGTCATTTCCTAAGAAGAAACGAATGTGTGCAAGATGGGGATGCGGACTTCTCCAAAAGCCGAACCTGTCGTGATCTCCCCCCACTCCCCCACCCCCGCGCAACCCCTAGAGTTAAATAAACATCGTTTAGGAAGCGTGGATAGGAGTGCCGCCCGATTCTCTTCCATAGGAACAACATTCCGGCAATTAATACCTCCCACTGGGTCGTAAAGCAACAAACCCCACACCTCACTCCTATTACTGGGCTTGGGGCGGGAGGACTTTCTCTTTCATCTTCTAAGTTGGGGTTTGCCCACGTTCCTCGGGAAGCTATAAAGCTGATTTAATGGCTTCAGAGGAATATCGATCACGCTAATGCCTAAGCCAACGTCTGAAGAATGGCATTTAAAAAAAAGACCCGCCGGTCCGAATGCACACGGTAAGTATTGGTGAAGGTCCCAGGCCCCGAGGAGCGGGCAGCGGTGCAACGTTCCCCTGTCCACTTCTGTATTGGGGACAGACCGGAGAGACTATTCCGGGTAGGCTCGGAGGCCAAAAGGAATGGAAATCTCCAACCCCAGCCCTGGCTTTGGTTAAGGCCGGCTTCTCGCCTAGCTATTTTGTTTGCRCCAAACGCTGCGCAGCGGGGTGGAATGGCTGCGCGGCGGCTCGTGTCGGGCAGGAAGCGTGCGGCGGAGGCCTGGGGACCGCTGGCGGACAGCGAGAAGCGCCGCCGCGCTCCATTCACAAAGTCCTGGAGTCGCCGCTCGCCGGCGGGTCGGAGGCCGCCTCCCTCTTCCTCTAGGTCTCAGTTTTATGAATGGGCCTGGCAGCGAGCACCGAGCTCCCTGTTTACTCCTCTCTTTGTGACGTAGAGTTCCCGTGACTGGGCGCAAGCAGTCGGTGCTCCATTCACGCTCCGCGGAGGGGGCGGGAGGAGGGGCCGGGGMTTGGGCGGGGAGCTGGTGTGGGGGGTGGGCGCCCCGCCGAAAATGGAAATGGGCGGGGCTTCGCGAGGTAGTAATGAATCTCCCCCTCCCGCGGGAGAGCGGAGGTGCATTAATAAATCTTTAAGCCTGGGAGGAAACTCTGGTTGGGGCAGTCCGCGGAGCTCTGGCGGCGAGTGGGGAACGGCAGCTACGCGCGGGCGGTAGCAGAAGCGGCACAACCAGCAAAACACATCCGAGGCAACAGCCGGAGGGAGCCGGTGGTCCTCTCCCGTAAACACACACCCCTCCACCGCCACCCCCTCCTCCGCGCCGCGCGCCCGCCTGCTTCGGTGCCTGAGGCCGCTAGGACTGCTATGTAACCTGGAGGCTGCGGGAGAAGGGAATCCAGTAGAAATTGGCCCGCGGGAGCCTCTGGGGGCCAAGTTTGCGGTCACTTCTGAAGGCTCCCTCTCTTAGTCCTTACTCGCCCATTCCTGTAGCCTAGCTGGCCCGAGTTACTTTCTCTCGCCTCCTCGCGCTCCCAAACAGCCGCTGTTCCCGGCGACTATGGTGACGATGGAGGAACTGCGGGAGATGGACTGCAGTGTGCTCAAAAGGCTGATGAACCGGGACGAGAACGGCGGCGGCGCCAGCGGCAGCGGCAGCCACGGCGCCCTGGGGCTGCTGAGCGGCGGCAAGTGCCTGCTGCTGGACTGCAGACCGTTCCTGGCGCACAGTGCGGGCTACATCCGAGGTTCGGTTAACGTGCGCTGCAACACCATCGTGCGGCGGCGGGCTAAGGGCTCCGTGAGCCTGGAGCAGATCTTGCCCGCCGAGGAGGAGGTGCGCGCCCGCTTGCGCTCCGGCCTCTATTCGGCGGTCATCGTGTACGACGAGCGGAGCCCGCGCGCCGAGAGCCTCCGCGAGGACAGCACCGTGTCCCTGGTAGTGCAGGCACTGCGTCGCAACGCCGAGCGCACAGACATCTGCTTGCTCAAAGGTAAACGCGGGCGCTGGGGCGCAAGCTGGAGAGTAGGTGTAGGGGGGCTTGGCGGCCTGTGCCTTATTGGACGTGGGAAGGAGTATCCAGAGTGATTCTTGGCTGCGGGGATTCCCGTGCGCTCCTTTGTGMGTGTTATTGTGCATGGGTTTTCTAGGTTTTTGTGTGTACTGTTGCGAATACGAGTTCCAAATCCTCAGGGACAACGTTGACGCGTTTCCCTGGTCACCTGCGATTTCGCACGCGTTCTAAAGATACCGYGTTTATTTACACTCACGGTTCTGGCCTAGAGACCCAAGCGACTCCTCTGAGCGGCGCATCTCGGAGTCCTCCCATCTCCAAATGCTCCCAAGTACCRCTGTGCGGGAGGAGACAAGATAGGCCTTTTAGGTTGGCGTGCCGTGACCCTGCACTGAGCCTGACTCTGAGGACCCGAACGCTGAGTAAAGAGGTGAAGGAGGGTAAGCCCCGAGGTGGGATTGGCTCCGCAGTTTCGACTGAAAACTAGCTCTGGGTAAAGGTACAAATGAGAATTGGGTTGCAGACATTGTGGGGAGAGATCTCTGACTCGTCTCCCGCTGCCCAACTCCGAGCTCTGCTGGAAGGTGGCCAACTCACGCCGCCTGGGGCTGGATCCAGGCTCCGGGAGCTGGAGGCTAGAGAACTGGGTAACTGGGGGACGCCCGGCGGAACCGTCCCTCTACTCCCTTGCTTATTCGGGCGGCGGCAAATTACGACCTTTTGTTTAGACACCATTCTCGAGTAACGGATGGCGGCGCGTGGGGGATTTCGGTGAACMCTGGAGAAACTCTTGGTGGCGGGACGGAGGGCGGGTGCCTTGTCAAATGTGGAAGTTAGGAACCCCGAAAGAACCGCGTGCTAAGTCACTGGAGAGACTGTTCGCGGTAGCACCTGCCGAGACGGGTCGGTCTGCTGCTCTCAGGCTTGGAAGCGGGCTGGGCGCGTGGGGTCGGGGCGCCCCCTGTCGCGCTGCGCCCCTTCCTCCTGCTGCCGCATTCCGCGCATTCTTTCGCCCTGGTCGGGTCTTGGCTTCCAAACCAGAGCGGCGTTTCAGACCCTCGCCATCAAAGAGCCGCTCCTTTCTCTGCGAGCACACTTCGCCCCCTCCTCTTCCTTTCCTCTCCGGCCCTGTCCACCCCAGAGGAAGGGAGATGGGGGCGGAAGCTTCCCTCCCTCCCGCTCCAAAAAGCACAACAAAATCTCAGTGCGGACAAGCCGGGTTTGCTCTTGCTGAACAGCGGGGGGCTTTGTTCTCGGCAGTTGTTTCCTGACCATTTGACCTGTCAGCTGCTGGGGAAATGCTGCTGTTGACCTGTGGTTGAACCGCTAAGGCGATTTTGCTGATTTTTCTTTCTTTTTTTGCGTGAGAGCCTCCTTTCGCACCTCTCTTGAGCCCAGCATCCCCCACCCCCCAGCTCTCAGGAGCAAGTGACCGGAAGGAGCTTGGACCGTAAGGATCTGCCTTGGGCGACGCGCCTGGACCCAAAGCCCCGCGGAAGCGCTCGTCCAACGTCCTCGGGCCGCCGGGTCCAGCTTGGACCACCRCGGTGGGCGCCTGCGCTATTGTTAGGCCTTGCGAGCTCTCCCCTGCCTGGTGCTGGCGCCGGGACGCACGTCCCTTCGGAAGGTGCAGCTGGCCTGGGTGTTGTGCGTGTCGCCAGCCCTGGAGTCCCTCCGGATTTAGAGCCAGAGTGCTCCAGTAGGTTTTCGGGCCTCTGAACTCAGGGCCCGCGAGAACGCCTTAGGGCTGGGCTGCCTTCAGTCCCACGTGGAGTCAGGGGTTTGTTTTTGTTTTTCTTCCTGAAAGAAATCCGGAGGGGACCGCCCTGGAGCAGTAGCTCTGGGACCTTGGCCCTTGGGCTTCCGGGGTCACAGACACTAAGACACTCCTCCGCTCCGGAGGAGGAAGGCAGATTTTTAAGGTTTACCTTGCTGGCTCCCAGCACCTCCCAGACCCCTCCAATTCCACCCCGAGCCAGATCAATTCAGAAAGAGGCTCAGGGCTGGATATTGAGGGAGAGACTAATACTGACGTCAACACTGGGTAGAACAGGTGACCTCTGAGCCAAACGACAGCCTTCTGGTGGGTGGCCAGGGTTCCTGGCCAACGGAAGAGAAGCATTTCCTCCGAGGCCTACACTGCCTCTCGCTGTTTGCCCCCCTCCCCCACCACCACCAGGCAGGGAGGACCACCCACCGTCTCACAGGCCATATCCTCCCAGGTGGAAGGTGGCTACCACTGGGTCACTTCTGCATCTTCCGAAACCCCCTTCCCTTCCCACCCCTGCCACCACCAGTAGCTGCAAGTTCTGCCCTGGGGAACAAGCACCTAAAATTGAAAGGTGGGAGAATCTTCCCGGCTCGTTGTGTAGTGCTGGTAGGATATCTTCGAAGTCAACTGGGCCACATTCTGTTTAGCATAGCTTCTGTGTGCTGAACAGAGGCCGAATTAACTCAGTTCCTCTTCCTCATCTTTGTCTGCTAAAGGCATTCCTAGAGAGGGCAGAAAGGGAACTGTCAGTGCCTGCTACCACTCCCCTGAGGGGAGGTGTGGTCTGGGGAGGAAAGTCAGGGCTCCCAGTCTCCAGAGACACAAGGCTTCCATGCAGAGAAATGGGGCTTTATGGGAGGGAACCGTGGCTCGAGGACTTAAGGGGGGATATTGGGAAGCAAGGGAAGAAACACTGCCTTAGATTATCTTCAGTAAATACCTGAATTGATTAAGGGTTGGGTAATTAGCTTCCCACTGGAGTTGTTCATTTTATTTTCCAGCTGGGAAATGAGGGCTCTTGTGTGTGTGTGTGTGTGTGTGTGTGTGTGTGTGTGTGATTTTGTGTGTGCTGGTGGATTTGGAGTGAAAGAGGCAGGACATGGGGCAAGTAAGTGGTGCCTGTCATTCTTGGGAAGGGGCAATAAAAACAGGATGTTTTTAGAAGTGATGTCATTCTTCCCAGCCCAAACTATCTAATTCTATTAATTGACTGCATTTCATTAAAAGTCCAGTTTTTCCTATTTCTGCCACTTCAAAGGGAGATTTGTTACTCACTGAAGATAATTAATAACCAATTGCACAAGCAAGCATTCATAAGGACAGGAATAAACTTTACCGAATGTCAATAAAGCAATACTTCTTCTGTACATTTTCTAGTATTAACCATGTTTCGCTAAAACAAACAAATAAACAAGCAAAACAAACAAACACAATAACCAAAATTCTGTAATATTTTCTTTTCACTAGTCAAAGATTCCCACTGGGATCAGTTTTTAAAAAGCTTCTGTAACTTAAAATCCAGTAAGGCACCTTTAGGAGTAATTTAGAACGTTTAAGTTTTCCTGATTTTATCACAGTATTCATCTTTGAAATTCCTTTCTTTWAAAAAAAAAATCCTTGGATTAGAGTTTTGGAACCCCCTGATAGTTTTAAATCAGAATTTCCTTACCCTATTACAAGTCATTCCTGGGGCTGGGGATGTGGCTCATGCGGTAGCGTGCTGGCCTGGCATGCGTGTGGCCCAGGTTCGATCCTCAGCACCACATACAAACAGAGATGTTGTGTCTGCCGAAAACTAAAAAATAAATATTAAAATTCTCTCTCTCTCTCTCTCTCTCTCTCTCTTAAAAAAAAAAGAATAAGTCATTCCTTACCTCCACTCTCCTCAAATAACAAATTAATCAAGTACACAAAAAACTGCAGGTATAAAAATGTTAGTTGACTTTCCTCCTGTCTGCAGTTCACCTCTTGATCTTTATCAGTTCTTGTCCTGATTGCAAAGCTGTCCTGGAGCTGTTTTGAGCAATTGGGAGGATAATCTAGATATTTCAGTTTCTTCTTTTCCTTAATTATCCTTTGGTCCCTTGTCTCCCTGGGCTTGACCATACCTGGAATGGGAGTGGGGGTTGTGGCACCACTGGAGTCTTGGCTACTCTGGTGACTGTTTTCTGTCTTTTCTTTATCCCTGTCAGCCCTAGGCATGCCCAGGATTCGTACCTTTTGTGCCCAAAGGGAAAATAGCTTGCTTTTCTGTTTGCAAACATAAYACAACACCCCTGACAGCCAAGGATTGGGTGTTCACAGTTATAAAATGGTAGGCCTTAAAGATAACTTGCAAACCCTATTGACATTCTTACATAATTACAAAGAATGCAGCAAACTCACAACTTTTGTCTTCTCACTGCAGGCTAACAAAAGTAACTAAAGACATGTAGCTGTAAATTGGGAGTGAAAACTGGATTCTTAAGATCCTCAAAGCTTCTTTGAGCTCCTCCTTGATTTTGTAGGAGGGGTGGACTGCACCCACCAACACAGAAAACTGAGGGAGAAAGAAAGGGTGACCATTTAAGAAGCCAGGGAATTCCTTTAAAAGAAGTCAGAACATCTGAAACCAGATAGCTGTTTTCCTTACTGGGAGGTAGTTCCAGGCTAACAAAGAGGAAGCATGACAGGAAGACAAGTTCACTGTCCAACRGAAGCCAGTCTGCAGAATATAGCAGATAGCACAGGAGGACTTGGAAAGACTGCAGGCAAGATCTAGACCCCAGCCCGGTGTTAGGGGTCAGCCAGTTGGAGGACTGGCTGGTCTCCCTGAGTGTGGAGTCCTAAGATGAGAAGCCCACCCAGGTGTCTTCTGAAGATTGCTTACATGGGTGTTTACACTCACGTGAGGTCAAGTTCTCAAAAAATGACCTTGAAACAACCCAGACTCTTTTGCTGGGCCAAAGTAAGGCCTTGGACCCTATCTAGGAACTGGTGGTATATTCTGAGCACTGAGAGGGTGGTAGGGAAAAAGTGGCAGACCCATTAAGATCCACGTCACAGGCACCACCACAAGTCAATCCTCCCCATCCCAGGATCCATTAAGAATCCTATTAAGGTGATATTATCAGCGCTAATCAGCCTGCCCTTTGTAAGGCACTTATCTCCTATTCCTGCAGGGGCTGTCCTCAGTAGCAGAGAATTTGTGGCAAGGGGGTCATTGTGATTGCTAAATTTTCAGAATGGCCTTACTGTGTGAGTAGTAGGAGAATAGAAAGCTGAACTGTAGGTATAGTTAACTCCTCAAGTTAAGTTGGGAAATCAATCTCTGTTCTCCTTTCTTGACTTTCAAGGTCAAAGATTTGAAGAATAGGAAGTATATTCTTAAATAAGGACATGGGGAAAATAGGTCAAAATTAGTAAGAAGTCTGTTATGAAATTACGCTCACTGGGACACAGAAAAAAAACAGGTCAAAACTCATTGGCATTTCTGTTAGGAAATTTTATTCAGGTGCCTGATGCTTTGCAGCTGGTAAAACTGACCAGGAGATAAGTAGGTCTTGCACACTTAGAAGCACACCACACTGGAATCTGGAGATCATTGTAGTCTGAAATCCTTATATTCTGAGGGTGGGAAAATTTAGTCTTTAGGAGAGAAAGTCCTTATTCTCACGACTAGAAGCTAAAATTGTCCCCATATCTGCTTCCACTTGTTCTTGGGCACCTGCTGGAGGTGCAGGATAGAGTCCAAACTCCTTGGTATAAGGGGAATGAATTTTGGATAAAAATTGGTGATCTAAACCTATCTATTAACCAAAAGGACTGTGGCTCTGGTACTAGTACAAATATGAGAATGAGWAGGAAGGACTGAGGGAAAGAAATCTTGGAGCACAGTAAGAAATCTTCCACGCACAGTAAGAAATATGTTGAATTTACATCATGATCAAGCAGGGATACATGCACCCCTGGGACAAAAGTTACAGGAAATGATAACACTCTTTTTTTTTTTTTTTTAATGCAATGCATTCTGCTAATTCCTATTCTCTTACAGTCTCCCCCCACCTCTCTCTCTTTAATGCTGGTGCTTTTTTCTTAATGACTGCACCAGAGACCCCTGTGTAGAGCAAGAGTTTGGTGAAATGTCAGCAGTCCTGTGTGGGTCAGTTGTTTTCATATGAAGTCTGTCTCTCATGATGAAGCCAGAGGCAGTGCCCACGAGACGGGCCAGGGTGAAGGGCAGAGATAGCTGGGCAGYAGGGTAGGCTCCTGATGGGGAGAAGTCCTAGAAGTCTGGCTTCAAACTGAATTCTGGCGCTACCCTTAAGATAGAGGACACCCAGAGGCGATGTCCAGGGTGGACTTGAGTGGTTTCTTCCATCTTGTGGGTGAGCTCTCACTTGCAGTCTGTTCTTTAAGCTCCTCACAGCAACCAGCCACAGACACCCACTGTCCCCCCCGCCCCCCCCCCCCAATACTAGCAGTGGCTAAGGGGACAAAAACCCTTACACAGCTACTGCTGTCAGGAGAACCTTCCAGTGCTCCTGTCTCTTGGGCTAATCCGCTTCTTCCCTTAGTTTCTTTTTGCTTGTTCTTTCAAATCCCCCAGAGAAAACCGACTTAGCATTTTCTCTTCGGTTCTAACACTGTCTTTTCCAGGCAGTGGTTGTCTCTCTGTCCTGTTAACAATCTGCCTGGAAGGAATGAGACCTGGTCTGGCCTCTCTCCTTCACCTCTGGGGCCACCAGTCCTGCTATTCAGCTGACCTGTGCTCCCTGTCTTCCACTCTGGTGACTGGCAGCTGTCCCTGGGTCCCTCCAGGAGGGTTTTACGGAGCCAGTCTAATTGATTGACCCTGAGAGGTGGTGGTGGCGGATACCRGAGCCAGGAAGGGAAGGTGGAGGTCAAGAAGTCTGGCACCTGCCCTTCCTCTGTCCACCAGGTCTCAAGGCTCTGCCCAAGACGCATCAGTAAAGCCCAGGAAAGRGGGCTATCGAGAGTCTGGGAAGTCGCCAGCCTGACAGTCCCCTTGCTCCTCTTCGGTCTTTGTGGATTCCTGTTGAGAGAGTCCCTCAGCTTAGATGCCAAGAAAGGAAACCGGTCCAGGGCCAAGTGCAGAGCACTGGCTGTTTGAAGAATCATTCTTTTGKGGACTCTGTGCAAGGAAATGGTTAAGAACCTTTTACAGGCCAGGAGGAGACTCAGAGATGCTGGATCATGGGTGCAGGCTCCACAGYCAAGGATTGACAGGGTTGAGGTTCATCCTGACTGCAGAGCCTTTGTTCCTTCTAGAATTTAGTCTGGTCTGGTCCTGTAACCTCTGCAATGGGAAGAGCATTTTCTTGGGGACTCCAGTGTGCCCTGAGGGCTGCTCTGCTCCGTGACCTTGGACCCTGCTCTGGCCTCACCATTGGCTTTTAGGTGGGGCAGACTGTTAGCCTTCTAGGTGGGGAGCTTTCTTTCTAAAAATGTGTGATACCTCAAATTATGTAATGGATACAAAGATCATTTTGTTTGAGATTTTTCAGATGTTGCAGAAGTACAGAGAGTGACACATGACAGCTATTGAGACGAGTGTTCCCACTTGCCCTGAGCACTGACGGAAGCTTCTCAGTAGAGGCCCACTCTGCCTGTTCTTTCCCCATTCTCTGTCCCGTGCTTTCTGGGCAGCAATGTTGGCAGTCTTATAATGGAAGGGGATAGATGGGGGTTCCAATGGGAGGGAGGTGGTGCTCCGGGATGAGATGGCCGCTGAGGCCACCAGTACATCCAAAGCTGGTAACACTACCCTGGCCAGCAGGTTTTCTAGGCAGGGAGTTGGGTCACCATGACTCAGCAGGAAGGAGGGCTGGTGACCAGAGAGATATCCATTTATATCCTGAGGGAGGGAGCAGAGGGGAAGAGGAGTCTCTGGTCAGAGAGGAAGAAGTGGATGCCCTGTTTCTGTGAGCCTTATGATGTGGCAAAGAATCATTTTCCTTCCTCTGAAGCAGTAGAGTTGGGATTAGGGGCAGATGCTTGACTAACCGTCACATGTCTGCTCACTGGAAGATTAATGTGGATGGCGGGAGGGAACGGCGCCCTATATCACAGACATCAATAATATAAATAATGAAGAGAGTTTGCTCAGATGGGGCCACCGGCCAACTGGCCCATTTGGGTCTGTGAGGTTGGTGAGGGCTGAGGTTCCTCAACATGCAGGCCCTACTGAATCAACATCATTTCTCATCCTACAGAAACTGCAAAATAAAAATAAATTCAGAGTCAAACATTGGCAGCAGATAGGAAGTTCCCCACAAGCAAAGTCCCAGAGACGAGAGAAAGTCAGAAGCATTGGTTTGAGGGTCTTCTCAGGRTCTTCCCCACCCACCTCTGTCCCTGGGGTAGAGGTTGGGTAGCACCGAGCATTCCACTGTTCACCACTATTCCAGTTAAGTTGGCCTTTTACCTTTTTATCTCCAAGTCCTCCTTCCCTGAAGATGATCCATGGACAGCCCTTCCTGGGCTTACCAACTCTCAGGAAAGCCTCCCTGCCCCTAAGCTGTACTGTGACAGGAGGGGTTTCCTCCCCCCTTTGTGGCTCCTTGTGGATGGAACAACCGTTCATGAGGCCCTGCAATTTCACCTGCTCCATTTCTGAGGCCCAGAAGGACCGGTGTCACGGGTGAATTTTTTGTCCTTTTCTCCTCAAAGGAAGGGCTGGAGCCAGGGAACACAGGCATCTTTATATGTCCAACTGTTTGTCTCCCGTACTTTTTCACCCTGAGGAGGTACTCTGCATATCCCCTGCACATCTTCCTTGGAGTGTCTTTATCTCAAACAGAAGTCTTGTTCTCAGAGATTTGCAGCATCCTTGCAGCTTTGTTGCAATCCTGGTCTGACTAGACTCTGCTTCTCTGGAAAATTCTCTGCAGCTCTTATCTASGCCAACAGCGCCACCCAGTGGCACCTACAAAGAGCTCATTAGCACCCCATCCTAATAGCGCTCCTTACTTAGCCTGGTAGGATTCATTTTTTTTTTTTCTTCTGGTGTTCTGGTTGGTGCCCCTATTAACCTGAACTTCTTTCTCCTTTACAGGTGGCTATGAGAGGTTTTCCTCGGAATACCCAGAATTCTGTTCCAAAACCAAGGCCCTGGCAGCCATCCCTCCTCCTGTGCCCCCCAGTGCCACGGAGTCTTTGGACCTGGGCTGCAGTTCCTGTGGGACCCCTCTGCATGACCAGGTAGACCTCAGGCATAGAACTGGGGAGTGAGGGGATGAATAATGCAAGAACACTGCAGGAGACTTCTTTTCAGAATTTTTTTTTTTTTTTGGCTTCAAGTGTAGTGACTCAATTTCAGGAGAATGTGGGGAACCCTGAGTATTAGGGTGGGATGTTAGGTAGGGTCTTCCCCTTCCCTCTCTTATTACCCTCACTTAAGAAAAATTATAAAGACATCACCCCTTCTTAGCCTGCAGAGTTATGAGTGGACAAAGGAGGAGTCCACTAGAATCTGCTATAGGGTGAAATGAGAGCAGCCATGAATCAGTGGTCCCCTGCAACAATCAGGCTGTTCTCCCCGCCCATACCAGCCAATTGTAAATGCCAGTGGACATAAAGGGGTAGCCACCCTTTTCTAAGACAATCAGCTTGAGCTGCTGCATGTGTTCCAAGCATACCACCCCTTCCAGCCCTTTCAGTTAGATGGAAAACGAGTGAAGTTATAGGGTCCCTGCAGCTCTGCCCCACAAGTCTCATTACGAGTTTAATCCTGCACTGCCTAATTCTGCCATGACCCCTCCCTTTGTCTGTGAGACCAAGATGGCATCTGTCTCTGATGTGCTAAGTGAAGATATATCCAACCAAATTGGATAGAACCAACCACACAACAGATAGCTTGATGACTGGCAGATAGATGGGAACTCCTAATGTTGCAGGAGGCCCAGCAAAGCCAGTGTGGTGCCTGCTACCTCACTTAGCATGGGGAGGTGGGCCGCCTAAGCAAGGGGACGTCCCCTACGGCTGGGCCTGTCCTGGCTCCTCTGCCCACCAGCAGAGTGAAAGGCTGGCAGAGTCCTGCTGAGCCCTGCAACCCTCTCAGAGCCYCAAGACAGGAAGGGCAAAGCAGAAAGGCTGTGTCCAGCAGGTGTTTTCCCCAGGCCTAGAAAGCCCACCTGGGGCTGGTTTGGGCACTGCAGTCCCTTCTCTGGTTGCCTTACACTCACCTTGTTTGGGTGCCTTTGTGCCCTTTCTGGTGTAGGGGGGTCCTGTGGAGATCCTTCCGTTCCTCTACCTCGGCAGTGCCTACCATGCTGCCCGGAGAGACATGCTGGATGCCCTGGGGATCACAGCCCTGTTGAATGTCTCCTCCGACTGCCCAAACCACTTTGAAGGACACTACCAGTACAAGTGCATCCCAGTGGAAGATAACCACAAGGCCGACATTGGCTCCTGGTTCATGGAAGCCATCGAGTACATCGGTAGGTGGGCACAGCCCTGGGGTACTGGGTTCCAGAACCCGATGGGGAAACCTGAGAGGAAACCACTGCGAACTTGGTGTTGTGGGTGGGACTCAGCAGGCTGTGTATCAGAGTATGCTCATTTCCCCTGCTCCCAACAGGAAGGCCTGTCCAATGGGTGCTGTGTGGGGCAGGGATGAAAAAATCAATCCCTTTACCTATGTTTGGAACCTTTTTGCATGGCTCCAGGTGTAGAGGTAGTTAAGGCTTTTTCCATGCCAAGGAGGACCAGGAGAATTGGATCACTATTTTGTTTCTGCAAATGAAAATCCCTTGAATGAATGGAGGGATCTAACTGGCTTTATCATGCAATTTTTCCAAGTGTAGTGCCTTTATGATTCAGTCTCAAAAAATACCCTAGAACAGGTAGAATTCTGGAGTCTTCCTACCCCCTCCCCAGTCTAGCACTTCTACCCCCACAGCCTGGCTTGTGCCACATATACCAGCCACTTGGAAGTATGAGGCCCTCTGACCGCCCTAATCCCGTCCTGGTCTCTGCCCCCCAGATGCAGTGAAGGACTGCCGCGGTCGGGTGCTGGTGCACTGCCAGGCGGGCATCTCACGCTCGGCCACCATCTGCCTGGCTTATCTGATGATGAAGAAGCGGGTCAGGCTGGAGGAGGCCTTTGAGTTCGTCAAGCAGCGCCGGAGCATCATCTCGCCCAACTTCAGCTTCATGGGGCAGCTGCTGCAGTTCGAGTCCCAGGTGCTGGCCACCACCTGCGCCGCGGAGGCCGCCAGTCCCTCTGGCCCCCTGCGGGAGCGGGGCAAGGCCACCCCCACCCCCACCTCCCAGTTTGTCTTCAGCTTCCCCGTCTCTGTGGGTGTGCACTCGGCCCCCAGCAGCCTGCCATACCTGCACAGCCCCATCACTACCTCCCCCAGCTGTTAGAGCCAGTCTCCCAACCCCTGGAACCAGGCTTGGCTCCCAGCAAGCTTTGGGAGAGCCACCACCTGTGTGGGCAGCAAGTAGGGACTGACCAGCTGGGGGCAGGTGACCAAACTCCGTCCCCATCCATTTCTCCTTGGCCGACCATGGGGCCAGCTAGAATGGCAATAAGGACTTTGAATTCACATTAAAAGCAAACAAACAAAACACTCCAACTTAGAGCAATAACGGCTGCCTCTGCAGCCAGGGAAGACCTTGGTTTGGTTTATGTGTCAGTTTTCCTTTTCAGGTAGAAATTTCTTACCTCATTTTTTTAATCAATAAGGCTTGAAGTTATGAAACCCACAGATCCTGGCAAATGTGCCCATCCAGTTTTATTAAGTGGGGGAGGGAGGGGGGAGGGAAAAGAAGAAAACAAGTTTGCCAGAAGTGCCTGGTTCTGTGTGCTTGTCTTTCGTTGTTGTCGTCACAGGAATTTTGCTTTTTAAAATAAGACATCTAGGATGTGGTTTTCCTTTCTAATTATTCATCGACAGGTGAATAATTGTGCTTAATAATAAATAAAGGTATTTATTAAGAATTTCCTCAGAGTATGTATGTACAAGGAGTCCAATGACAGTGGATTTAGAATATCTTTGTGTTGATCTCAAACAGCAGAACACGGTAGCATGCAAATGTCCAAGCGGCCAGGAAGTAGGTAGATAGATGGTGTCTTGTAGGTGTGTGCAAGTCAGCTAATGATCTTGAATTTGTTGCCACTGAGAAGCAGGCAGGATGGGGTGGGAGGGGAAAGGAAGGGAAAGGTCTGTTTTTTACTTTCTTTTGCTGCTGGTTCCTGGGCACAGAGACCACAACCATATAACCTTTTCTCTGATGATCAGTTTGGTGTTTGGAGCATTTTTCTCATAGGCCCATCTAAGACATGCCTATTGTCTGTGATACAGGCCCCAAGGTGCTCCTGGGAAATTGGGTACAGTTCAGATTTTTCTTCAGTGAATCATTTGGCAAGATCATGGGGGGGAAAAAAAAGATTACTAAAGATACACCTGAAATGAATCCTTTCATTAGTTGAAGCACCATCCTCTCTATTTTGCGTAAATTATAGTTTTTAATCTTAAGGAGTTTACTTGAAATATACCAATACATTCTTCTATAATTAAATTCCTGTTAGAAGAATATTTTCAAAGGCCCTCTTTTGAATCTAAAAGGGATGCCACATTTCAGGTCTCCTTGAAGTCTAGAAGGGCCAGGAGCACACGGGCGAGGTGGGGTGTGGGGCAGACTGCTTGCCTGCTGTGGGCTCCTGTGAAGTACATCATGGGAGTCTTGTTGAATCTTGACTTGGACTAATGCCATTTTAAGGGGTCTTTCCAAATGGAGGAATGGCTTTGGAGGGAGAAGGAATATTTCTGTGGGGAGGGATGGGAGGGGGGAGGGAGGAGGGAGCAAGTTACATGTTATTTCATTTGTAGTGTTGTGGAACAGTGTTATGGAGTGCCAGACTAGAGGTCATTGCAAACTTGTCTAGAAAGGAGAGCATTTTTTAAAGCCCTTTGAGCGTCTAGATCTCAATGAACATTGTTGCTCATCCATAAATAACTTCAAGCCTCAATGTCACAATCATGTTGGAATGCACCCAGCATCGCAGACAGGCCCAGGTTCACTACATTTCCTTTCGTGAACTGTGAACCTGGTTTGGCATTATTCATCCTGTCTGTCTGTCTCAAAGCCCTACCTTTGGGTGAGGCTTCCTGTTTTCAGAAAAGCCAGAGGTGCCCTGCTTCCCTGGGAGCTGCTTGGCTGAACAGTTAGTTGATAGAAAGGCATGAAGGGGCTGGGGTTTCTGGGCAGTGGACCCATGTAGAGACGGCATGGTTGGACATTCCCACTTTCTCCTTGATTCCTGGAAGTCACTTCATGGTTGGTGGAGAATGCAGTCTCAGCTAAAAAGGCCATGGGGGATTAGGGAGGGCGGGTCGCCCAAAGAACAGATTCACTTTTCATACAGTGAGTGTACATTTGCCAAATCTGTCCTGCGTCCCCAGACTGGATCCCAGTCACACAGAGAGTGGGAACTGAGGACTAGCTCCTGATGTCTTTCTCCTACTTCCCAATTCGAGTCTTCTATCACAAAGATAAACCACTATTTATAAAGTCATTTCTTTGTTCTTGATAATGGCATGAGTCCCGAACTCTTAGAAATAAAATAGAACATTGGCGTGATTGAAAAGGGGGACATTTTTTAATTGTTGTTCTCCCGCCAGAAGCCTCTTTGATGACTTGGAAGAGCTCTAATGAAGATGTGACTGCAGGGTCAATCCCAATGGCCAGTGAGTTTTCATAGGCAGCTTTCTCCCATGAAGTGACTTTTGGTGACAGGAAGTTTTTAAAAAGCATGGTCACATGCATAGACTCCCAGCTTTGCTGTTGGCCATACAAAGGCTCGTAAGGAAAGCTGCTGATTCCTTCCCGGGATCTTGTCTGACCCCTTGGGTGTTTGGAGAAGCCCTGAAGGAAATGGACTGGTCTTTCCGGAGAGCAGTATTAGGCAGAAAACACGGTGAGCAGCCCGGTGGTAGCTCCCTGGTTTAGGAATTCCTTCCTGAGGCCATTGTGATCAGGTGCTGTTTTCAACAAAGTTGGGAAGCCATGAGAAAAAAAAAAAAAAATCTAAAAGTCCTTGGGAAGATGGAGGGTGGCAGGGAGGATAGTTGACTCTAAGTAGAAGGGGAAGAGGCTGGAGGCTGGGAGGTGGCCATGAAGCTGTAGTAATGAAGCAGTGGTTCATCTTGGCTGCCCATTAGAAACACCTGGGGAGTCCTCAAAATCCTGAAGCTTGAGTTCCTCGAGACCGAGTCAACTAGAATTTCTGAGGTGGGACCAGGCATCAGGAGGCATCAAAGTTCCCCAGGTGCTTCTCATCTACTGCCAAGTTAGAGAGACCGCCTTGCTTCCTAGAGGGCAGAGCGCCACTGCAGGTGGGTCTTGCCAATCTCGCTAGCTTGTCTCACAGAACCACAGCCAGAGGGTTGTTTCTGGGCAGTGGACCACGGCTTGGTAGGGTCTCATTGCCAATTCCAGTCCTGCTGAAGGATGAGATGGTTTCTCCTGGGTGTTCCTGAATGAGACACCCTTTCAGGTTCCTCCAAAGCCATCTGAGGAGTGCAGTTATGGGACACGGTACAGTGTCTGGGTGTTGTTTCTCTGTGGAACTTTCTTGTCGAGAAAAATGGAGGGTTATCTTTTTGAAGCAGTATCTTTTCCTCCAGTACTCTGCCCTTCCTTAGAGTTTGAGTCACACAATAAGAGACTTCTTAAAGGGCAGCAATGCAATACTTGTAACATGTGTAAATAGCCCCATCTCTCAGAGTGATGTCATTTCTACATTTGATATGCCTGTATTTCTGTAGGATGTATATAGTTTAGGGGATTTTTTTTTGTTTGGTTTTGTTTTTTTAGAAAAGTAAACATGTTTGTTTTTATTTATTGCTTGGAAAAGATCATTTGAAGAAAAATAAATACATTTTCAACCACCTCTGCTTTGGTTTAGTGTTTCCTTGAAAACTGTGTTGCTATCAGAAGGGGAAGAATCCTGGGACCTCTAAGGATTTGAAATGCTCTTTCTCACCCAGCATCGCAGATAGGCCCAGGTTCTAAATACTTAGTAGCATTTGCACTGGAGACTGGCTGGTGAGAGCAGGGAGCACATTTTCCCCTCCTGAACACCATTCAAGGCAGGTGAGAGGAGAAAGCTGATAATAATGGCTAACAATCTGGTTTCTCTGGTAGTGGGGGGAAGAGAGGGAAAATTGAACGGTAAGAGACAGGAGTGTGCTTCATCCAAGAATCCACTGTGTGCCAATCATAGGACATGATGGTAAGGATGACTCTTCAGGTCAGTTTCAGCCAGCCTGAGCAGAGTGACTGGGGTTAGTTGCACTTAAGATTTCATTTCAGAAGTCACAGCATGTTACTTAGGTTCTACCATATTGGTCAAAGAGTTGCGAGCCTGCTCTGATTCAAATCCCTTGGAAGGAGAGCCAAAACACGTTTGTAGCCATTTGTACAACACCAGGGAACAGTGATCTAGAAAAACCTAAACACGCGAGTGTTACCCTTCATACAGATATAACTGTCATCTGAGATAGCATCCAAGAATCAAAACTTCTGATGGGGTTTTAGCATCCTGGGGTGTGGAAGATTAGATCTTTCAAAGTTCCCAGATGGATTGGGGTGCACCCTATATGTTGACACCAAGGATCTTGCTTCAAATTTTCCTGTAATCCAACAGAAGTACATCAAATTGAGAGCAGCAGCAGGATTGAGGCCCAACTCCCTATTAGAGTGGGTCATGTATGGTGGCCTCGCTGCTGCTTCATCTTCCTGCTCCCATGACAGACACTACTAATCAGCTACTCTTATCTCCTATGGAGGCACTGAATCTCAACATGATCACTTCCTGCTGAGAGCCATTGCCAAGTAGGAATGACGCATGGCAATTTCTTTGTCAGCCTACTCCATGTTGCTTAGAGGAAGGACTCTCCATTGTGGAAATGGGCTTGCCTTTGGACCCAGGTCATTTGCAGTGACATTGCATGTATGCTTGAGTAACGTGACCTTGCTCAAGGACCAGGGCGGATCCAGGTTTAGGGTGTATCCTGCTGGGATTAGGGAGTATCCCGCTCCTTGGGTTTAGGGCGGTTCCAGGTTTAAGGTGTACCCTGCTTATCCTGATGCCTCAAGCGCCCGCCTGCTTGAGTTCCCCTGCTTGAGTTCCCGTTGAGTTCTCTCGGGATTCAGAAAGTATTTGTGATTCAGAGCCTGGTGGAGTACGTGGATTTTGGCCAGAACGTGGATTTCCCCAGAACGTGTGTAGAGTGCCCGTGTGAGTTCGGGAATAAAGAATTGCTGTTTGAATCTACAAGGCTGTGAGTGGCTCGTGATTTTGTGCCCAGTCAGACTGTGGCAACTTCCTTGGTTAGACCACAGATACTCCTAATCCACATCCCTAATAAGATGTGGGTCCTAGTACAATCTGTTTTATAGATGGGGGCAGAGAGGCACGGGAATCGGTCAAGATCACAGATGCTTGGTGGAGCCACGTTTGAATCAAGAGCTCCCATCAATCATGCATGCTGCTGCTTATTGTGTACCTGCTTCATCTCTCCAGAAACATTAAAAAACAGCAGCCACAGGGCAAGGTTCAGAGATGAGCACCTGAGCTACACTGTGCATCAGAATGCAGCCTGGGCTTTTAGTAGGTGGTCAGGGAAGGTTCTCCACAGCTACACAAAGCATGGCCTTTTCTATCCTTCACGTCTCTCTTTAAAAAAAAAAAACACTTTTTAAAAGGACACTCTTAGAAATATTGCAAAATTGAGCAGGAAGTACACAGAATTCCCATATGCCTCTCTTTCCCACCAGTCAMCATTCCCCACTATAGCAGAACCTTTGGTTACAGCTGGTGAATCTATAAGAAGACATCCACAT